TTTTTTTTTGGCACAAATTCAATTCATTGAATAGATACGGTATGGGCGAATATGACTCACTCTCTTTGCTTAGTAACAACACCCACTTATTTTTTTCTACAAACAAATATACGAACCTGAACAGCTGTATTTTGCAGTTTAGATATTTTTAAATTATTTTTTAAATATGAGGCTACCACTTTTACGAACTCTTGTACTTTTAGGTTCTTTTTATGTCACTCTTCTTTGCATCACTTCTTCACGCATCTCTAATGGCAATGTTCAACGTAAGTCTGAGTGTTTTTATTCTAGAAAATGCGTTGTAGAAGGTGTGAAAGGATTACGGTATGTCCACGGCTCGATAAAAAAAAAGCAAACAAAAATGTTGTTGGTTCATCTCAACATACACAAAAGGAATTTGACAACTAGGCATCTGAAAACAACAAAAAACGATTCATTACTTCACCAGGAAGGACTGAACGCGAAAGAATGACAACAGTAGGGTTAGTCTAGTGCTACCGAAGGTCCAGGAAACCCTATGACACCATGAGTAGAGAGAAAGTCACGGTGTTGGACTGAATGAAGTGAAAGGGCGCTCACGTGGCCAGTTATCTCTATGTACTTTTATTATCAGTTCGCAGTAGTGGCATAATACAACCTACGGTACCGTAAAACAATTCACTGAGGAAATTTATGTGAAAAGATGGGGCTCTTCGGCGTTGATCAATCCGTTTCTGGGATGCAACCAGCATTCGATTTCCATTCAGATTCGCAGCTAGTTTGAATGCCTATGGGGCCTATACAACGAGTTGGGATAACTTGGCTATGATCAAGTCTGCTTCCTACTCCCAGACGAAGCTGGCATTAATTCATCGACCCTAGAAAGGTGGGAGATTGCTTTGCCCGGGTGAATATCGACCAGAGTTTCTATCCCCGGACCATACGTAGTCATTCGTAACCATAACACCTCCGTTGCTCAATGGCAATAGCAAAAAATGGAGTACTAAATGAAAAGGTTCCCACTCCTCGTAAAGGAGATCACCTTGAATAACTGCTATAGCTTTCAGACGTATCAACTGGTCCTTTCGTTCACGTACACATCCCCATGTGATGTGATTCTTCCTCGACTATTCTACATGAGTATTCATTTGCCATATAACTTTTCAATATTATGGATTGAAGGAGCACAGGTTTGCATTTACAGTAAAAGTTTTACGGCTTATGGATAAGGTAGAGAGCCTTTGGCTCTGCCACTCGGCTCCCGGCACGACGGTGGAGTCGCTTTGACTTGCTTTCACTTAGTGGCTCCCTTCGTTTCCTCAAGATCTGAGGGAGCAGTCGCGAAGTAGATGTTGTCTGCCATAGGAAATTCCTTTCAATGAAAAGAATCGGAGCCGTTCCAAAGAGCCAAGCCGCTTTTTTTTCAGCTCGTAATGATATTGGAAAGGATCATAGCAATCTTCTATGTGGGTCGTTACGAAAGATGTACAAAAAAGCTTGGTCATTCTCTTCTTTTCCTGTCGGTAAGATTTTTATATCATTTGCCTCCAATTTCGATTGTTCACTGGCCATCCACACTATTTTTTATATAGAAATGATTATAAAATGTGGATTATTGTTACCATAATCGCAGGATCATCGGGTGTTGACTTCACTCGAGCGCAATGTCCCCAGCAAAACTTGTGTGTAGCATTATATGTAGTGCTGAATAAAGTTGAAAGGCATTGATGAGATTAGAGTTTAACATTATCATGAAAATTATTCATTTCACCACGTGCTTGATCAAATCTCGTGCTTTTGATGCTCGTGGTCTAGCCTGATTTAAATGATGAAGGCCTTTCATGGTCAGATTTGAGAAGCAACTTTGAGGAAGCAAACCCCAGGCAACTAGAAAATTTGCAATTTCGAGCTTGCTGCCTTTTGCCTTTTTCACTTCAAAATTTAATTCTTGTTTGATAAATGGGTCCGGGAAAGCGAAGGATTAAGGAGAACGTTCTAGGCGTCAATCTATACTGCCTTTCGGATGTGTATGCATACAACTTCCATTCGGGATCCCAATGACGGTCCGGATGAGAGCACGTGGCCCATTAAGATGGCTTGTGGTGAGAGCTGGTGTAATCAGTGCTTTTTTTCTCTTAGACTAGTTTCAACCCAATGAACTGACTCTGGAAGAACGATAGGCTTGTTTGACTTGAACCTGTATCGTTCCAAGCCCCGAATCTCGGACCAGGCATAAAATAGTGGTGGCCACTTACCACTGCGCTACCTTACGCTATATTTACTTATTTTCTGTGGAACTTTTTTCCTTTATCCATGAAAGTGCTATGATGAAACCGATCGCAATCTATGGGTTCATTGAAGGGTTAGAAGCCTCTATTTTCTGAATGAAGCTATGTGGTATCTGCATTGTGGGGGTATAGCTTAGTGATAGGGCTGGAGAATTCCCCATACCTCCAGCACCCTATGCGAAGTAACAGACTCGAACATAAAACATTCCTCTTGAGTTATTTACTGATTCCCCTCTCCCCCCCCCCCCCCCCCCCCCCCCCCCTCTCCGCTCCCTAAACAATATCACAAAAAAAAAAAAACCTCAAANCCCCCCCCCCCCTCCCCCATCCCAGAGTCCACTATGAAAAACTATCCTAAAAAAATCACAAATGCTCGGAAAATAGGATTGACTGAAAATTTCTGATGATTTTTCATTGGACTACCAATAAATTACGGAAATGCTGTCGATCCAATATACATGGCGCAATCTTGCATACAATACATAACCACTACTCTTTCAATCTTTTTCATTGCTTATGAAATATTTCCAGTTTTTCTTCCCGTTGACTGAGTTGATATGGGCGTATGCGGATGAGACGTTTGAGGCGCCTCAAATCAGCTGTCTGAATACACCAGTGAGCCGAACAAAGCAGATTAACACCCTCTTCATCTTTTCTATTGTTTGCCATATTCTGGCGGTCACCTCTCTGGTAGTCATCTTCTTGTGTCATCGACAACGATCAAGGTGATTTTTTTAGAAATACTGCTTTATTGGGATCAATTTTTGGGCTAGGCATAGGGGTAACCTGGTGTCGCAGAATCCTTGATGAACCTTGTTGGATTTACCCATTTGGGGGGAGGAAGAAGTACCGGCAACAGGGGTAAAGAGATCGCACCCACCATCAATTTGATAAATTCTGAGAAATTTTCGTTCTTTAGCTGTTAGTATGGGCGGTCTACGCCTGCTCGACGGTGGAAGGAGGCAGGGGACGGGGTGAGGGCTAGGAGGTCAGAGCTATAGGGAGCTTACATGGTGAATTGCTGCCAATTCTGCTGCTCAGTAGTGTTTGTGCACTCACGACCTCCCGTTTGATGGTTTGACTTGAAGCCTGTCTAGTGAATACTCTCAAACGCTGTGTTTCAGGATGGCACATACGTTGACGAGCCGATTTCAGTTCTCTGAGAACATGACATCGTCCCGGTTGTTGATAACACTTTCCTCTATACAACTGGTGATATTTCTAACGTATGCTGTAGCAATAATGTATTTGAGAATATCATTCGATCCAGTCAAAGGGTCAGCGCCAATGCAAAAGTCCAATATTATGAGTGCTTACGTAAGTTTTCAGCTGATTTATATCTATACTTACTTATGCCTTTCTGGTGCTGTCTCGTTGATATCGTGGAAACTACACTTTCAAGGCACAGTTCACGATAAAAATGGTTTTCGAGACTCCCCCACAGGATGAATGTGAGGCCCTGCGTATACCATATCTGGCACTATTAGGTCGAAAATCTTCCAAGTTAGGGAGTTATAATGGCTCAAATATTGGCCCGTATGTATCCTCGGACGAGTTCCACCGGCGTTGTAGAGGCTGCACCGATCACCAGGGATTCCATGTAGGAAGTTCAAACAACTTGTCATGACCCATAGCGACAGTGAAAGACAGTTCTGGCTTGATGTTGTCAGCTCTTTGTGCAACTGCAATAACTGAAATCTTGTCCGAATACCCCTTCCATGTTATTTCCGTCATGGCAATCTCGTCCAACCTCTATCTTCCTTACTTTTGAGGAGCCATTTTTTTCTCGAAATTAGCGAGTTCTCTCGCTTTCTTCACCACCGATGAACTATTCCCAGTCTATACTTCCGCTTTTCGAATAAAAACGAGCACCTCAAAATTATCGTGAACTGTGCCTTTAATGGCAGTGCATGCTTGAATATCAGACGAGACAAGCGAGGTTCCAGTAGAGTATAAGGGATCAAGAGCCCGGTTTCCGTAGAAGATCGCTTACTCAGTTGAATGGGTCAGGTGCTATGCGTCTGTATGCGACCCCAGAAATTTGGGTACAGTCTCCTATCCATACTTAGCGAATCTTGCTCAGCCTACCGTATCAGTATTGGATTATCTCTACTTCTCCGTCCCACAGGAATATTAGATGTTGTATTCGTGTGAAATTGCTCTTTGCGACAGTCTGAACTGCTATTTCCAGTTGGTTCCCTTCTACACAATTCTGCTACCGCTGATCACAATGTTTTTCCTAGTACGAGTGAAACAAACACGGCGATCCGATATACAGTCGATGGTACAGGTTAGCGCCCTACCCAACCTTCTTACCCATATTTTTCGACTATTGCCTGCAGTGAATTTCTCTTTTGATATTTGCCAATTTCAGGTGAAGTCAACTGGTCAAGAGGGTTGGGCAAACTATGCCACTCAGTTGCAACAACAATGGAGTTAACAGTTGATTAGCCAGTTTCAGTTATGTATTTTAATATTAATTAATGAATATTTTAGTGATGAATCTTATGACTTCATGTTGTTAAGTGCTGCTAATTTGCCATCCGAAAGTATTGAGAGGTTGGCGAGTTGTGGACAAAACTTCGGCCTTAGACGGGAATCGAACCTGTACTTGAGCTGTCTTCTTCTTCCTTACACCACCAAGAATCCGCGTGTCTCTGCCTTCTTGATGGCATTTATGCACTTCCAAGGCTATTCCATTCTGCGGGATTAATTTTGAAGGTCTGATATTCAGGGAGATCGGGTGGGGATGAAGGATGAGCTAGATATCCCAGACCTTAACAAGATCAGGAGAGTCTTTAACTTTCTCTCATTTCATGTGTAGGAATAGATCTTTCTAGAAAACACTAACTCAGAAAGGTTGACTCGCGTGAAGACTATAAGATCCCGTTCAACCGACTCTCATGAGATAAAATTTTAAAATTTAACAGTTTCACTCAGTTTAACTTTACCGAGCAGGACGCCGAATTTCCTCTGAACTGTAAACAAAAAATGCCTGACGAGCTTTATTTAAAACCAAAAAAACGAGGTTTTTCCAATCATTCTGCTCAAAGACAAAATAATACAATATTGAAGGCTTTTTACTCTGCTCCTGTAGGGTCCATGGTCGTATTGCAGCCAGCAATACCATACCCACTGACATCGACGTTGAAGTAGTGAAGATGGTCTTGGATTGATGTTGTGAACAGCAGTCCGTCACTGCACTTTGGACTCTCGTTGGCTAGATAACAAAAATTTCGTGTGAGCTACAAAACTTCAGAAGATAAGCCAAGTAAATTCACATTTGCTCACCGTAACATACAGTATAGTTAGCACCGATAGCCATGTCTAAGGGGTAGAAGACCTAAAATTCGCTTCTCTCAAAATCAAATCTATAAATATTGTTCAATTTGCTATTCAGAACCAGGTTGCCGTTCGCTACTGCAGGGCCTCTAAGGCGAAACCCAACACTCTTGATGACAAAGCCCAACGATTTTTTCATTTCCCCATTTTCGAAGGCTTGAAAGTCTTCCTGTCTTTGGAAATTGAATCATCCTCACCTCAGACTTGTGGTGATAATAATCCATGAAATATAGCGGTGGAACATGTGGCACAAGGTCCCTCCAGTGAACAACACGGAAACTGTAGCCCATCTGTAAGTAGGAAATGTCGTCGTTATCCGGGAATTCCTACCCTGACTCGAATACCCAGAGAAAGTCACAATGAATACCTGTCGATCGTGAGTCATTGCGTAAATGTAATCCCCAACTCGTGGTTGGCCATATGTAACCAATTTCACTTGTTTGGGAGGTACTTTGTTTACAGCAATAATGTATGAGGAAGCCAATGAGGCCATTGCGGCTCCGAGGGAGTGTCCGGTTACCTGAAGTCTCCCATTTCTCCCCAGGCTCTACCGAAAAATGGATCCGAAAGAAAGGAAGGAATACATAGGATCCGTTGTGTCTAATAAACTGGGAATGGTTTTTTATTTTGGTATACTTACCCAAATGTCATAGTCTGGGTACATCTTTCTCAGCTCATTGAAATCATCTCCCATTCCAGCACGCCATAAATCTATGAAGCCATCGTAGAAAAACTTGGACACGAAGCCACCGGCCGGCCACATAACCTGATATTTCAAGTAGTGATAAAAACAAATATAATATCTAGCCCCCATATTACTCATCCTAATTCGGGCCAAGTTTCCGGGCTCCTCATGGGAAGCCTCCCTTCTCGTTAAAAGTGAAAGGGAGTGGAGGTTTTGTGAACCACCTTAGCCTATGTATTAATTCAAGGAGTCAGAAAGTACCTTGTCGTAAAAGACGCTCAGTTCTGCTTCTGCAACAAGCTGAACAAATGTATTCGTTCCTCTGAAATCTGAACAATCAAGTCGCCTGAAAATTTTCCTAAGGTGAAGTCTCACCTGAAACTGATAATAATCGATTTATCGCCGTGATTTATGGCTGTGAATCCCGAGCATATATCATTCGACCCAAACGGACCACATGTCACATTCAACTGGCGTTTCAGCTGAATATCCGATCATAATTTATCTATTGTCGATGATTCTTGAATCTCTATGAGCCTCACTTACCGTGGCGTTGGTGTACCTATTATGTAGGCACTCCTGCGGCCAATTACTGTAGGCAGCCGCTGCAAGTGGGAACATTAATACGCGGGCGAACATATCCGAATACGCTGGTCGAAGTTGCGCTGGAGGTAGCCGTCGTGATAGCGTTGGCAGTACACAAGCCAAGAACAGGATTAGTCGGTACATGATCAAGATAACTCTGTAAAGAAAACTCGGCTTGACTCTGAAAACCCCTTTAAAATTCTGTTATTTCTGAAAGAGGGCTTTACGGCGGTAGAACGAACACAGAGTCCAAGTGAGATGTTAAAAGCCCCGTAAGTTTTGAAGATAACAAAATGATTTTTCCCCCATTTGGGTAAACTTAGAGACAGCGGTAGAGCCGAAGCTATGGTGGACGTTGTTGGTGACAACCCAGTTAGCACACAAGTGTGATACTGTAGCTTCACTGTCTTGAGCCTTTATATTGGGGCGAATCCACACTGGCTTGCCGGATTTAATGGCTCTTGTACCAGCTAAACCCTACTGTCAGTGGTAGATTATGCAAACCTTGCCAGGTATGACTTGTGGTTGATGACGGAAAAGGTCAGTAAACGTCAAGGGTACATGTCCTTTATGAAAGATTAATAAAGATTAACCTGCTTCCGATTGGTCAATGATGTCATTTCCCATTCGTACTTTTCGTTGCAGGTTTGGTCCCTGAGTGCAATTCGTGAGAGTAATCTACCTGAGACAACGGTGTTACTTCCCATCAACACACAAACCACACGCAAACCCAACATTTTCTGCCCCTTCGCTGGCTAATGAAAGTTGATTCCCCCAGAAATAGTTCAATTATTTTTCGTCGTTATTTAGATCAATTGATTTTTCGATTTATCAAAACTAATATAACCTTGGGACCTTATAACCATGCCGCTTCCTATCCTAGCTTCCTACTGAATCTGAAATAGCCAACAGAATCAAAAATTTTCTACTCTGAGAATGCCTGGCTTTTCGGTGGCCTTTGTAGTCTATGGAAAATTGAATACCGTAATGAAGCCCTCTTGAACTTTCTAAAACTGTCCTTAAAAGCTTTTTATGATGGGACTATGCCTTTTAAGATGAAGACATCCCAAATAACAACGCCGTTGGTTGAATTCAAGATCGTGCCCTTTGTACTTATCACATTGTTTTTCACCCTCATTGATAATCTGACCCATATGAAGGGCTATCCAGTAGATGGACCAGAAGATGCGCGATTGAAATATCAAAAAAAAAAGTGAAAACGGTCATATTCAATCGAACTTCAGTAAAAACAATACTGGACCATAGCGATTGAAATTGAGCGTTTCAGCAATTCTCGACGACTTCAAGCAATCATATAGAAAAGTAGAAAAATGGTGTAAACCCTGTCGGCAGCATTATATCGATAAGAGGAACTTTAATATAAGTGCAAGAAGCCGGTTGACAATGGACCTTATCGTTTCTGAAATCACTGAGACCTTCGATTTCTTTCGAGAACGTGAGCCATGTTTAGAATTGTTTCGATTATTCATAGGACTTTTTAATGGGTTTCTGATTGATTGTTATTTTATAATGCAGGCATTTTGTGATTTTATGATTCAGGCATTTCGTTTGACTGCTTCACAATTTTATTATTGATTCATTAGTTGTAGGTGAGAAAATAAGGCTACAGGCTCATGCTGATAGGCCATCGACATTCCGAGTCTTCAGAGACATTGAGAGGTCTATGTTGGGGGCTTTGGCAGAGGGAAATGGGCAGGTTCGTGTCTTGTTTGTGGGTAAACGTTCTCCCCTCAACTGATCTCCAGATAAGTTATAGTCACTGATGTTTCAGTTTTGAAAAAAACGAGCTGAAAACGACCACCGCAAGCGTTTCGCTTGGCCCCATCATAATGAGAAGGCTCAATTCTAAAATCCCAATTCCTATGAAGCAATGCCAGAACAAAAAATCGTTCCAGCCATTGCTTTGCTCAACCCTTCTCACTGACCCCGACAGTATATAAGATGAGTTTCCTGAGAGTAATTGGCCGTTATAATAACCAACCCTTAAAACGTTGAGCGCTTCTAAGGCGAGCGGATGTTCCGCAGTACTAGCTAATCCACAGTTCGTGCTCCATCTCCTCCTACTTTAATGCATGCTACTCCTCCAACTCATGCGATTCTGAATTTTGCTTAGTTCTCTGCTACTTTATTCATATCGAACAACGCCTCACTCGTTTGAATTTTGTTTCCTACTGTTTGAACGGTTTCTCAGGGATTCCGTGACAAACATGACATTTAATTAGGGTATCTTTATCATTAAGATGTTTGTCAATTTCTTGACATTCGCAGAGGAATCTGTGAACTCAATTAACTTCAAAGTAGTTTGTTTTAGAACTTTTTTTCAAATTTCCTTGAATTTTCTTATTTGATCCCAACAGTTTGAATCTGAATTGTCTATTTAAATAAATCTGGATCTTGGTCGTCTGAGTATAACAAATAAATTTTTCTGCCAGGTTGCTAGCTTGTTCCCGCAACTTCCGGGGCGCACTAACTTACCTTTGTGCTTTCCAAAAAAAGTAACTGATCCACTAACAACCACCCAAAACGGGTCAGGGCTCTGGAAAGCTAATCTCCTTGGCTGCGCTCCCATGTGAATAGATAGTTTAGCTTTTTTGAAAAATATCTGCAGAGTTTACTATAATTGACTGACTAACCTACAGCTCAAAGACTGGAAAGGTGGCAGATGACTTACAGTGTTAAGGGACTTTTCACTGAATGGTTTTTATCTCCGTGAACATGAACTCATCGCTCACCATATCGACTTTCGAAGATGTTATGACAGCAAAATGACATCCCATATGGCATAGTTGGATGTCAAAGGTTGTCCTTGTGGCAGTCCTGAAGACCATTTGTATCAAGAATTCTCTCTTTAAGTTTTTTCATCCTAGTACATCGTCTTCGTCTAGCTCGTTGTAGAGTAGAGCCTCGTACCAGATTTCATAGGCAAAAGGCTACTATTTGACCAAAGTCTCAAAATGCAATGATGACATTTTACGGTATGATGTTCACTTTGGGAACTTGTACTTTAACATCACGTCATGTACTCTTTACTCTTTGCAAATTCGGTTTGGTCGAATATAATCCTGTTGAATTTCAATTTTGCTGCATGACATAGTGCGTTTGTAGCAAGGCTACCGTAACCTGTCATAAATCACAGTTTAATCGGGTATATTGGAAAGTTCTATAGGTCAGAAGCTGCTTCTCATTATCCTACTGTTACCCACGTATAGCGACTGCACTCTGAGATAAGTTTCAGCTCCCTTCACCATAACTCCGACTTTACGCTCTTCCAGATATTCTTCTTTTCAATATGACGGTATCGACGATTTCTTCCGAAGATCTGTCGATTGAAGCAAAATCAGGAAAGGATGATGATATCCAGCTGAATGAGTTTCTGAGGCAATCCCAATTTCCAGCTAGACTTTGTTCATCTTCTTTCTTGATATTTATGGACTAAACTAGAAATTTCACTCACAGCTGCATGTTTTAGTTGTTACTCCAGAAACTTTGACAAAAACAAAAAAAATCCTCAGTAGATGGTCACGACGCTCATTGAATTGCTACCATCTTCAGTTCAATTGCAACAGTTGATTTAAATGACACGGTTGTAGAAGCAAGAATCAGCAATTGGCCTGGAAATTCCACTCGATTTTTTACCAGTTTGTTTATTCAATTAATCAATTTTTGATTTACCTAATAAAGCAGAAGTGGGCTATTGCACAAGTTTGGTTCGCTCACATCGCACATATAGGAAACGCTAAAATAAACACATCCCATGAACGGATAAGCATCGCACCTTCTATACAGTGCGTCCCGTAAATATAGACGCACAGATAAATCCACCATAACAAAACTCCACTGTGTTTAAATGTTTGACCCAGCGCGGATCAGAATCTCAGAAGCCTCTGTCTGCTAACTTTCGAGTGGAACAAGAGCGATTGAGAGAGTCTAAGTTCTATGGTGTCAAACAGCCCCGTCTGAGGCATGCACCCCTCATATTCGACTTCAATACGAAATCGTAGCGGCGGTTTAAATGCGGCACGTGCCTCATATGAGTTGCGGTAGCCAGCCGATGTACAATTTGCTGCTTTTATGTTTTTGAGGGTTGATGTTCAAGAAAAGTTACACGAATAATCGAAAGCAATCGGGAAGTACTCTTTACTTGGCAATCACAAATCGTGGGGAATTAACACTGGACTGAAGTCTTGGATTTCGTATGGGCTTCCCATGTCTCTGCGGAGCGTTAGAGTATAAAACTCTTTTTTTCAATGTGTGACTTGGCCACTGAAAAAATTTTTGATTGGAATATTTCGCGAATTTTACCTCGAATCAGCCCTTCCAGCACAAAATATCTTGTCTTCCCGTTAACTCGGCCAGCCTATTTGAATCTGAGTGACCAACCCTTTTGTTAATTGAAGCTGCTCCGATTTTGCCATCAATCGAAGATTCTCTGAAATTTGCACTTCTGGTTGAATTTTACTGCTCCTACATACTGCTGCGAATAATGGTGCGGGTCATCTTGCAAAGCAGAAGCTTTGCTTCTACCGGGGTTAGATCATACCGTAGATTTTAATTACTAAAGTGACGATCTTATGTCCAGTATAGTCAGCCGTAATTCTGGCTATATTCAAGGTGCGCCATAAGTATGGTAACAATTTTGCGGAAGTAGACGATTTCCTCGTTCGGAGCGTTTTTCTAAAATTGCATCTTCTATTGTGTCAATGATATACCTTAGCTGACACCCTGCTTTGGCGCTCTTAAGTAGTCGATCTTCGAGAAAAGGCGGAGTTTTGCAATGACACAACAGCCATTCTATCTTTGCGTGCATTCGATGGGTCGCTTCCGAGATCGCCCGTCGTTTCGACATTACAGACGGTCGTTTCAACTTGTTACGACTCCTTTCCCGAGTCCAAATGCTTGGGAAACATTACGCTACGAATTTGCAAAGTGACTGCTGCATTAAATGTATGCTTTCTTCAACGACAAAAGTCTCCAGGAGTGAATACAAATGTATTTATATAGATTTCGATAACCTTATAGGCTTTCAAAAAAAAGCTCCTCGACATCAACCGACTTCATTCTTAATCAGGATTCAAAGTAGAAGTCATATGAAAAACCACGCATGAATTCCCAATGCCTACCTA